AAAACCAGGTGCCAGTGGCTCACGCCTGTAATCCTAGCTACTCAAGAGGCTGAGACAGACTGGGTAGGAAAGTCTGTGAGACTCTTATCTCCAATTAACCACTAGAAAACCAGAAGTGGCACTGTGGCTCAAGTGGTAGAGCACTAGCCTTGAGCTTGAGAGTTCAGGAACATTGCCCAGGCCCAGGGTTCAAGACCCACAACTGACAAAGAGAAAAAAGAAAAAAAAATTAAACATATAACTATGATCCAGCAATACCAATTTTGGGCATCTACCCAGAGTATTACAAATCAGGATACAGTAAAGATACCATGTTCATTGGTGCACTATTCACAATAGCCAAGTTATGTAAATAGCCCAGTTCTACAATAAATGAGTGGATCAAAAAAATATGGTATTTAGCTGATCACCAGTGACTGAGGCCTGTAATCCTAGCTTCTCAGGTCTGAGGATCATGGTTCAAAGCAAGCCTGGGCAGGAAATCTGTGAAACTCTTATCTCCAGCAAACTACTCAGAAAATTTTAGACTGAAGTGGTGCTGTGGCTCAAGTGGTAAAGCTCTAGTCTTGAGTACAAAAAGGCTCAAGGACAGCACCCAGGTCCTAAATTCAAGCCCCAGGACCAACAAAAAAAGGAAAAAAAAGAGAAAATATGGTACATATACACAATGGAATTTTACTCATCCATTAGAAAGAATATTATTCTATTTACAGGGAATGGATGGACCTAGAACAAATCATGTTAAGTGAAGAAAGTCAGAGAGACAAGTGGTACATATTTCTCTCATATGTGGAAGCTAGATCTAAAAAACAACATAAAAATATATACATACAGCATAATAACATATACAGGGATCAGTACATTTACATACAAGTTAAACAGGGGAGGAATCTAAACATGTCACTCCTCTGAACAACTAGTATAATGAATACCAGCAAGTGGAAGCATATTTTAGGGTTTGAATAAAGAGGGGGGCACAAGAATGGAAGGAGGAAGAGTGAGTAAATGCAGTCATTATATTCAATGCACATTATGTAAAAAATGAACTATGTAACTTGAGGGTAGGATGGGAGGAGGGAAATATGGAAGGATAATGAAAGGGGTAACATTGACCAAGAAGTATTGCACTCATAACCTGAGTTATGGAGTTGTAAGCCTTTGTACTACTTAATAAAGAGTTCTGTTATAGAACTTATTGTCTCAACAACCAAGGCAAGCTGTAGTGCCCATATCCTATCACCTGGGTAAATATCAAATCTATCTTTGACTAGGAAGTTTAGTTCTGACACTCAACTGGTAAAAATCAGAGAGGAGTGGTGATTCAATTTACAAAGGAACATTGTTCAGGTGTGTATAAGCCTTTTCAAAACCACACAACAGGTCTATGCAATAAAACATCCACATTGTTTGGATAATGAGAATTTAGGATATTTCAACCATATAAACCTTACCTCTTGATTTCCTCACCACAATATACCCATTGTCTTGTATCTAAGTATCTGTTTTGAGGAGGATAAGGGGGAGCACAGAAATGGTGACACAAAGGATAAACAAATGTAGCAGTGATACTCACTAGACAGTATATTGAAAATGGACTCTACAACTTGTTGAGGAGGGAGTCAGGAGAGAAAGCCTGGGAGGAAACAAGGGAAGAGGGGACACTGTTCATAAAGAAATGTACTGCCGGGCGCCGGTGACTCACACCTGTAATCCTAGCTACTCAGGAGGCTGAGATCTGAGGATCTCGGATCAAAGCCAGCCCGGGCAGGAAAGTCCGTGAAGCTCTTATCTCCAATAAACCACCAGAAAACCGGAAGTGGAGCTGTAGCTCAAGTGGTAGAGCACTAGCCCTGAGCTGAAGAGCTGAGGGACAGCGCCCAGGCCCAGAGTTCAAGCCCCATGACCGACCAAAAAAAAAAGAAATGTACTCATTACGTTATGTAATTGTAACCCCGAATACATCACCTTTACCATAACAATAAAATAAATTAAAAAAGAAAACTAAGTTCCAAATTGTTCTACTTAGTGCAAGGTACATTTTTTAATGTTTATAGTCTATTGAACATTGAGGAAGAAAGAAATTCCTATTTAAAAATCTAATTATAATTCTTACAAACCTAATGTGACTTGATTTATTTTTATTAAATGAATTAACTCATGTTTTCAGTTTATTGACATACTTTATAAAATAATATGGTAGATTCTCATTCCAATATTGCTATATAACAACTTCACAGTACACAGTGATACAAACTGATCAGTATTAGGTATGAAGGCAGCAAACCAAACCAGGGCAGGGCAAAGTAGTAGGTAGAGGACAAAATATTTTGCTAACCTTTCTAAAATATATTGGCACATTCCATTAAATTCTGCAGTTAAAAAAAATCACTTAGTTTCTACTTCTTAATCTTCCATATGTTTTTAGTTTTAGGGTTTTTTTTTTTTGTTGAAATGGGTTATTGTTATATAACCTAGACTGTCCAGGAATTAGCAATCCTCCAGCCTCAGCCTCTGTAGTGCTGAATGATAGACATGTACCACCACACCAGGCAGCAAAACATTGTTATATCTACATTATATAAAATTAATGCTAATGGACAAAACAGCTAATGTGACAATCTAAACATCTTTCGGGTAGCTCAATGACTTAAAATTAACAAGGAAAAAGCTCTCCCAGAATATTTTTGTATACACTTTTATATTGTCACAAATGACAAAATTAATAATCTGTTACATGGGCTGGGAAGGTGGCTCAGTGGTAGAGTGCTTGCCTTGCATCTATGAGACCCGGGGTTCGATTCCTCAGCACCACATAAGCAGAAAAAGCCGGAAGTGGCACTGTGGCTCAAGTGGTAGGGCGCTAGCCTTGAGCTGAAGAGCTGAGGGACAGTGTCCAGGCCCAGAGTTCAGGCCCCATGACCAACCAAAAAAAAAAAAAAAAGTAACAATGTAAGGCCTAATAAAGAGGGGGGGAAAATCTGTTACATCTTAAAAAGAAGCTAAAAGCAAAATAATTCACTTTTCTTTAGAAAACACATGTCTTAGCTCCTAAATCTAAAGAGAAAAACTTTAATTTTTTGGGATTCTTTTTTTTTTTTGGTCGGTCGTGGGGCTTGAAATTTTTTGGAAGGCAGAGATCTTAGGATCCCGGTTCAAAGCCAACCCAGGCAGGAAACTGTGAGACTGAACTCCAGTAAACCATTCAGAAAATCAGAAGTGGCGCTGTAGCTCAAGTGGTAGAGTGCTTGTCTTGAGTTGAAGAGCTGAGGGATAGTGCCCAGGCCCAGAGTTCAAGTCTCATGACCAAAAAAAACAAACGAACAAAACAAAACAAAAAAATCAAGTTTATGTTAGCTATACAATATATCATGTAATAATAATCCACTGTTGCAAGAACATTTAGTTTAAAGCTAAAATGGAAATATATTCAACCAATATTAGTCACACATTAACATGTTCTATCTTTTCTCAGAAAGCCATGATTAGGAACAGTAGGTAGGATAAGGTATCTTTTGGTCTGCTGAGCTAAGCAACACTGGGCCAGCAGTTCCTCAGCCTCAGGAAGGAGCCTCATTTCTTAAAGGCAGTATTGAACTAATTCCCATCCTGTTCTCCTTTTCTCTTATAGCTTTTTGCTTTTGTAGTTGGGCTTTTTTTTTTTTTTTAAGGTACTTTGGTAGCACAGAGTGATAATCTAAAAATCCTTTCATGACTAAAGGTTTCAACTCAATGCATTTGCTAGGTCAAATCACCTTACCTCCCAAGAAAATGAAGGAATAACTTTGTAGTCCCCTGGACTTGCTATCCAATGTGACCAACAGGGATATGGGCTCTGGCTCCATTCTGTGTGACTCTGGCTCCCCCTGAGTAAAAGCCAGAATAATACCACCTGCTCCATAGCTCTGTATTTTGAAGACCAATAAAGTTATACCATTTCAACGCATTTGTATGAGTATAGATTAACACACAAATGCAAAGGACTGTTGTAATCAGCCCAACTTGACTCTTCCCTGTTAATGAAGTCGAGCTACTTTTAGAAAACATATTTTCTTCATCACCACTTAAACTAAAACAAAGTGACTCTTTGGTTAACCAACTTTCCACTACAGTCACCTTCTCTGGCTTCTAATAGCACCAAGCCTGAGATTCAATTTGTCTCTCCTAGAATCTAGAAATCTGACCTTTAGATAAGTGAGAAGAACCAAAACCTAATGATTTCTCTGTCACTTTGGCAAAGGTAGTGGCATATTTATGCCCTATAAGAGTGGCCTCAACTAGGCTAGGCATTAGCCTTACCTAGAAAATTTTAAAATTTGACCCCTGGACTCTATCCCTGGAGATTCTTCTCCAGAATGACAAAAGTAGGACCCAAAAAAACCTTTTTTTTTTCTGCAAAAAAAAAAAAGACTACTCCCTCAACTGATCTCAAGAATTAATTAGCTCAGTTTTGCCCCCAATTTGTTATACATACTTTCAGTAGCTGTTAGCTTATTTGCTTTTAGTATAAAAATTTCCCTTTCAATAATCATAAGCACACTCAGAATAAACTGCCCATGATCTTGGCTTAGACTTATAGGGAACTAAACCATTACAACATATTACAATAAGATTAGAATATAATCAACTAACTTCAGAAATAAACAATGCTTGTGAATGTTGAAAGGCAGCTGGTTTATACCATCAACTGTGTTCCACTTTGCTGGTAAACATGAAGACAACCTTATTGAATGCTTAATAAAAGATGACAGAACTCTTCCAAGGTTTCTAAACCAGGTAATCGCTATTTAGAAAATGTTTCTAGCAAATACACTGAAAACTATTACAAAGAAACAAACAAAAACAAAAAACAGAAACCCATAGCCTCCTATAGAAACCCAAAGACTCTATCCACAGTTCAATCATAAAGAGAAAAATTGGCTAAAACAACAGTTGTTTAAAAATATGTTCAATTAATTGACAGTATCAGTATAAAATAGATATAATCCTTTCAGTTGAGCAGGTGCAAATGGAACCTAAGTTTCCATTTATTCTACCCAAAGACTTAACTGTGAAACTGACACATAAAGTTTTTAAAACAATGTAGATCCAAATTTAAGGAAACCCATGATTAGGTTTTCCAGGGTCCTGGGTGTGCACCTAGGCGCTGCGGAACGTGGTCATATCTTTAGGCTCCCTGCTGGGAACACACCAGTCATCAGCCTCATGGTTAGTGTTGTAATGCTTCCAGGCTGCTCTGTTGTACACAGGGAGTCTCTCAATTGATTCTGTTGACAGGGCCTGAAAACAAAAAGCAGAAACTCGAAATCTAGTTGTCTTGTTTTTTCAGTGCTGTGGACTGAATCAGAGCCACCAATTGGGCCACATTCCAACCTTTTTTCTATTTTGCTTTTGAGACAGAATCATGATGCTATACTTGTCCAAGTGGGTGCATACTTGAGATCCTCCTACCAACCTATACTTAAGTAGCTGGGATTATAGGAAGTACAACCTAGCCCACCTTAAGTCTGACATTTCTAAGAATTCATTATTTGAGAAAATGTACAATGGCAAAAAAGATAACTATAAATTAAGTGATATTCTATTTGAATCTTACTAATCATCACACTATATGATTTGTATTTGAAATGTGCTATTTACACATAGTACTACAGATTGATGTGAACAGTGGGTTTGTTGCTTGTGGTAATTCCATACCCAGTTTATGAATCATGGATACCTCTTATTTGCAAAAGGTGAAAAAAAGCCTTGAAAAAAACAGGGTAAGTATAAAAGCACAAAAAATTAACATGCATATCTTAATAATAACATACAGATTTAATGAAGACTGTAGAAAAAATACTGCTTTTTAACTGTCACTTACCATACAATATGACTATCAATAAATATAAAGCTGTCTAAGGCATCTTGGCTCTTGCATAATTCTTCACCCTTGGTTTGATTTTGTTTTCTTTGTTTCTTTTTTTTGCAGTGCTGAGAATTAAAACCATAGTCTTCAGCATGCAAGGTAAGCACTATCACTTAGCTGCTTTACACTTCGGACTCTGTGTTGTCTTCTACTGCCATTAAAGGCACTAATTTTAGTCATAAAACGTGATTTCTGCATCTTGCATAATTTCATGTTTCCAATTTAACATTATCATCAATTCATTCTTCTTTTTCAGTTTTCTATAAACCACTGGAACCTGAGATAAACTATAGTCCTTCTATCTTCTTCCACTTAGGAATATTCAGAACTTTGCCCTCAGGCCAACGGCGTTTGTCCTAAGATGCAGACAATATTTAACTAAAAATCTCCTGATAAGGCTAAGTAAGGTCTTTAATGTTAGGCCACTAGCATTTCCCCTCAAGATACAGACAATATTTAACTAGAAATAACCTCCAGACATGGCTAAGGTCTTTATTGTTGATAATTATAGTAATTATATAAGACCTCTTATCTTCTAAAATGGAACTACAAACTTTTCACTTGTACGTTCTCTTTAAATATTCTAAAATTTCATAAATCTACAAACTAGACCAAAATGTTACATTAGGTAATAAAATATTTTATTATTTTTGCCCTGTATTTCTGTGCCTCCCAAATCACATTGTAAATGGGAGAAAGGGTAGGATATTACCAATGAAGAATTTAACTTCTCATGCAGGGTGCTAGTGGCTCACATCTTTAATCCTAGTTACTCAGGAGGCTAAGATCTCAGGACTACAATTCAAAGCTAACCCGGGCAGACAAATCCATGAACTCATCTTCAACTGACCAGCAAAAAGTCAGAACTGGCAGAGCACCAGCCTTGAACAAAAAAGCTAAGGAGAGTGTCCATGCCATGAGTTCAAGTCCCAGTACAACACAAAACAAAATACTAACAACAAAATTTTAAAAAGAATTTAACTTCAGACTATTTTTTTCTCATATACATTTTTCAGCACATCTTATGAAATAGGTGCCATCTGGTGGCCAAAATAAGAAACTTCAGCCTCTAAATAAAACTGCTTTTTAATCAGTGATGAGGCCCAGGGCTTTTCCAAACCTGTAAAAATATAATGACAACTCCATAAATACAGTGACTATCCATGCTAAGTGTTTCTGCTGTTATCGTATAAACTATATCCTTCCCAAGAGTCACCTGTATTTGTCCCTGAACTGTTATTCAATTACTCGTCACTATAATTGTAACATATAATCAAATTATTATGTAAAAACCACACATATGTGCAAACATACACAGACACAGAGGAGGATATCTTTAAAAACTAAGAGGAATGCTTTAGAAAAACTCATGAAAAAAATTCATGAAACTACTGTCAAATCTGAATCAGAAGACATCTTTAAAAAATTGCAGAAATACTCCAAAGGACTATGCATTTGGTGGTAGATTTTTGGTTTAAAGAACTAAAACAGTGCATTCACTAAATAAAAAGACAATATTATACTACAATCTCCAGATCCACGTACAAAGAAAAGGCCTTAGCAGTGCCTCAAAAATCAGTAGATCAATGTACACTCCTACGGACACATGAAAATTAAATTTATGTGATATCTAACCCTATGACTCCCCACTTTATCCCAATTTCTTCCTATCAACAATAATTCCTGATCATATAGTGAAGAATGTTTCTTTCCCCACAGCCAAGGGAAATCAACTGTTAAAATGGTGGAATACCATGTAAAAGTTTTTGTTTTTATTAAATATGTCATTACATTTAACTATTAGCACCTTCTTAATTATCAAAAGAAACAATATAGTCAAGAAGTCTATAGTTATTACCTTAATGTAGATAACTGCATCTGTACCATAGCCCTCTAAGGAATATAGCTTTAGGTCTCCTTGGAAGTACTGGGCATAAAGACGTGATATGGGCAGTCCATAACCAAAGCCAGCCTGTTTAATGAGAAAAACAAAACTCTATTCAGACAGCTATCCTGAAGTACTCCTCTAATTAAGATAAACTTCTCAGGGCTCCTGGAGCCAAAATCTGAGAGACATGGTAAAATCTAAGTGTTCATAGTGATTGAGCATATTAACTGATGACATAGAGCTTTTAAAACTCTTTATATTTCTATACAATAGCTTGCAGTGGTCTGGAGAAAAACATTACTTTTCTCTGCTCTAGGAAACCCAAACTGCTTTTATCACTATCATATAAAACATACTATCTTTTTAGGAGCAACAGTGGAAGAAGACTTGTTGCCGCTTTTAATAGATGACCTAACTTTACACCATTAATTTCCAGCCCCTGTTCTGAACCTGGAGGTAACCTATTAAGTCTACTTTCTTAATTCTCACTGACAGGTCAATCCTTGTTCAGAAATCTTCAAAGCTCGGGGCTGGGAAGGTGGCTCAGTGGTAGAGCACTTACCTTGCATGCCTGAGGCCCTGGGTTCCATTCCTCAGCACCACATAAGCAAAAAGAAAAAAACCGGAAGTGGTACTGTGGCTCAAGTGGTAGAGAGCTAGCCTTGAGCTGAAGAGCTGAGGGACAGCACCCAGGCGCAGAGTTCAGGCCCCACGACCGGGAACCCCCCCCCCCCCAAAAAAAAAGAAATCTTCAAGCTCAACAGCATTTCCACTATCCCTACTCACTGCCTTACAGATAAAAAGCCAAGCTTTGAACATGAGCTTTTGAAACTAGAGATCGGTTCACTGCCTCCCACATTCCCATCTCCTTTCCTGTAGCTCCTTAGACAGTACTTCTGAATCCGTGTTTTAATCTATTCCAAGCATCTGGTCCTTCTTTACTGAATGTATCTTACTAGCTATTTAATATGAACAAAACACTTGTATAAAGGTACAAGTATTTTTTATTCCAAATTATATGCTCAATGGAATTCCATATAACAAGTTTGCTAAAAATTTAGGTGAGCTCCGGAATCTGAGTGCTATTAATAAACCCAGACTTCAGCTTCACTTTTCTAGCCAGAGTTTGTTTGTCCCTGCATATCAACTGTCAAATTTCCATATTACCCTCTGCCCTGGGAGGTTGAACAATGTTGTTTTCTGTCTTCTACTTTCAAAGGGTTTTGTCATTGGGAAAACAGCAGGAAGTCACAAGGAGTCATGCCCTTGGTTCCTGTGGTGATAATGCCTTGAGCAAGAAGGTCTTTTGGGAGTAAACAGCTGCTCTGAAACTATACTTCTTCTGGATTCTGCTCACTTCTCCTTTTGTTCCATGATGGTTCCAGTATTGTTAATACTATTTACAAGGAGACTACTTACATAAGCATGGGAAGGGGGGCATCCTTGTAAATAAACTGTTCTCAAATTATTATAACTTGACTGAGCTTACACACTGTGTCCAGAAGTAGCCAAGAAAACTACATAAGCAAGTCCTCCCATAGTTCCTCTCCAACTTAATTTAATCACTGTTTCTCCCTTGACCACACTTGTGGACTCATGGGTTTCCTCTATGAATAGCAGAGATGGAACACAGCACAGGCCTATGCCACCAATGGACCTACCGCATGCCCATACCTGCTCACTTGAGACTGCCCTTTCCTGTCACCCTCTCAGGGTAGGGCAGGCCTGAAAGACAAGGATGGAAGTGAAGTCTACCAGCAAACAGGTTGGCTAGCTGGCTAGGGACTTGGAAAGAACGAAATTGATAACTGATGAGCAGGCCTGAGCAAAATACACGTATTCTTTTCTGCATAGGCTTCCAGTGTGAAGATGCTCTGTCCATACAAATAACCATCAGGTATATAAGACAAAAATCAGGTGCATAAGACACCCATCTTGTATTTATCAGACAGCCTTTCTCCAGCTCCCCCAGTGCTTGCTGCCTGGGTCTAATCGCAAAGTGGTCACACAAGCAGGCAAGAGGCTGGCAAAGGCTACCAGACATACAAGGGAGACTTCGCCCCACATCACGCCACTTTTCTGAAAAATTCACATCATCTTACAGCCTATATTTATTATACATCAGGCACTACTATAAGCATTTTTTCAAATTTTAACTCATCTTCATAATAACTCCGTATTTTACATTGAGGAAATTAGGCATTGAGATGTCAATGATTGGTTCCCATAGACATGCTTCTGGGATGTGGTGGAGTTGGGTCATGGGGTAAGACAAGTTAGATCCACCTGGGCTATTCTCTACAGCAGTCCTTTAATACCTACTACCAAAGCTACACCTCCCTTCTTTGTCACTCCATGTCAGCAAAACTAAAATTCTAAGATACCTAGGTTTATCATTTGGCATCACCTGCCTCTTAGCATATGGAAGCCTACTCCCAGGAGCCATGTGTTACATACGGTTTATCACAAGAAACCTGCTATAACATCAGCACCAAGCTCAACAGGAAGAACTCCAAAAAATAAGAACCCCAAAACAATTTACCTTGTGACCATTTTAATAAAAAAATATATATATATAAGCTATTCCAAATGTGTTTAAGTTTAGAAAAAAGTTTCTTTTTCCTTCTGGCATTCTTTACACAAAAGGGTTAGCTATTTACTGGCAGCCAGAGCCTGATGAAGGCAATTTGCAAAATCTCTCTCTCTCTCTCTCTCTCACACACACACACTCTTCATTATTTCCAGATCATATACCAGGGGCACTGCACGGGATGTCTCAACACGAGGCCGGGGTGCAGTTGAATACATGTAGTTGAAGAGTCTGTCAATCTTCCTCAATGGAACACCACCTCCTCGGTCACTCATCTAAGATGAGAAAAGGATCATACTCTGGTGACCAAGTCTCACACCATCAAAGTACTAATACATACAGTATCACAGCTTAATGGCTGGCAAAGACTCCTGCTTTTGAATATTAATACCACAAAGCCCAAGGTGCAAATACAAACTGGGGTAGCTGCCACCACTCCTCTTCTATGTGAACTTCTAATACATAATTCACTGATTTACAATCAATTTATTACTCCTTTCTGGTGGGCAGTGTGGTAACAACAATCAAATTTAATATGCAAGTAGCATTCTGACACGGCAATGTCAGTTCCAGAAAATAATTCTAAGAAAATAAACAGAAAAGGGGACGAGGGATATGACTGAAGTGGTAAGCCAGCCGTGAGTGAACAAAGCAGAGAGCATGAGGCCCTAAAGTAAACCCCTAGTACCAGCACAAAAAGCATAAGAAATTAAAGAATGCAAAATGTGGCAAAATATGAAACAAAACTTCCACTTCAGTTGTAAGATAGAACAGACTAAACATGAGATTAAGTACATTCTAAATGTAGTAGCATGACAGGTGTCTAGACAACGCTGTTAGGAAGCAATGACAAAGTTAGGAAGAAACATTTATAATGAAAGATACATTTATAATGAAAGAAACATTTATAATGTAAAGAAACATTTACAATGTAAAAATCACCTGATATGATGTATAATTGTACATTTGGAATTACTTTCTTCTGTTTAGTTTCTAATTTTTTAAAATAATTACTTACATTATAAAATAAAATTGTGATTTTTTTTTTTAATGTCAGTCGTGGGCCTGAACTCTGGGCCTGGGCGCTGTCCCTCAGCTCTTCAGCTCAAGGCTAGCGCTCTACCACTTGAGCCACAGCACCACTTCCGGCTTTTTCTGTGTATGTGGTGCTGAGGAATCAAACCCAGGGTCTCATGCTTGCGAGGCAAGCACTCTACCACTGAGCCACCTTCCCAACCCGTAATTTTTGTTTTTAGTGAGGAAAAACCAGAACCACTACATTGTGGTCAAATCTAAAAGCAGTTTTACAACACAGAACTCTGGACAGCTTTTTAGTAAGTTATTAAGCACTGAGCTCTTTATTTATTTCTCAACTCAACCATAGAGTAGATAAATTTAGTCACTATATACATATTGTTTCACTTTCCAGTTATTATAGACTATTTTCCTAGCTATAGTAGAGCAGTATGTTTACAATTGTTCTTAGTGCTACTTACAGTAATACATGTCTGTAATCCCAGCATTCAGAGGGCTGAGGCAGGATGATTGCAAGTTAGAGGCCAGCCTGATCTAATAGTGGGTCCCATCTCAAAATAAATCAAAATCAGCTGGGCACTGGCGGCTTATGTCTGACTCCTAGCTACTTAGGAGGTTGAGATCTGAGGATCCAAATTCAAAGCCAGTTTGGGCAAGAAAGGCCCTGAGACTCTTATATCCAATTAACCACTAGAAAACCAAAGTGGCGCTGTGACTCAAAATTGTAGAGCATCACCCTTGAGCAAAAGAGCTCAGGGATAGTGCCCAAGCCCTGAGTTCAAGCCCCATTGACAAAAATTAATTCATTACAACAAAATCATCTATTACCATGAATTCAAAGCTTTGTAATTTAATTAAATGATTTAAAAACTGGGGTTTTTGTTTGTTTTTTTAATCGGTTGTGGGGCTTGAACTCTGGGCCTGGGCGCTGTCCCTGAGCTCTTCAGCTCAAGGCTAGCGCTCTACCACTTGAGCCACAGTCCGGGGTTTCTGAGTAGTTTATTGGAAATAAGAGTCTAACCTTCTTTACTGCCCAGGCTGGCTTTGAACCTCAATCCTCAGATCTTAGCCTCCTGAGTAGCTAGGATTACAGGCGTGAGCCACCGGCACCTGGCAAAAACTGGGTATTTTTAAAAGTCTATGAATTTGTAAATCATTCAATGTTCTGCTATGCATTTCCTGGTAACAATAGTAAGAAGTGTGGGTATTCTTTGTTGCTTTGTATGTCCCTCCCCCACAGTATAACCCTTGCTTTCACTATATTTGATGTCAGTATAACTTGTGGAGGAGATGGGGAAAAACCAGTTGTTTAAGGATACAGGTGGACCTGTTGCAACAATGAGAAGTACAAGTTGTCATGTCCAAAACGAACTTTACAATGTTGGTGGGGGGGGGGGGCTGGGGGGAGGGAGGAAGGAGAAGGATTGGGATTAGGGGGGGAGGGGGGAGGCTGGGAAGGGATGTGAAGGATAAACAAAGGAGGAGGCTGCAATGCTTGGTAAGAAATGTACACATTATCCTGCCCATGTAACTGTAACTCCTCTGTACAGTATGTTCACAAATAAAATAAAATTAAATTAAAAAAAAAAAAAAAAAAAAAAAAAAAAAAAAAGAAGTGTGGGTATTCTGTAACTACTAAGTAAACAATATATTAGAATAGATATTGTTTCAAAAGGTAGACTTAATAAATATTTCCTGCGTTTCCTAGATTAATCTCCTGGCCAAACAAGCTGTAACAAGTAGTACAAAGTAGGACAAAGCAGTAAACTGACATGAGCACAGAAATTGAGCAGGAAGAACCAAGAGAGGAGTTATGGGAAGTGGCATCTCACTAAAGATAAAGAGGTAAATCTTGAGAAAAACTGGCTAAAACTGATAAAGGGAAGGTTTTTGGCAGCTGAACAACACAATAAGCTAGAATCAGTGTATCATAAAGTGGCCAAAAAAGCTTCCAAGAGAACTGCCACAGATGATCAGATCCCAGTCCTTTATGAAGAGTAAAGGAGGGATCATGGGGAACATGGACATTTGGTGTATATACTTAAGGCGAGAATGATACTCTGCTGACAAACATGATGAGAGATGTGAAAAATAAAGAAACTATCTCTAAGAGCCAAAGAAATCCAGAAGGTTAATATAGCCTGTGACAAATGAGGAAAGTGATATGTATTATCAGCAGAAGGCCATGGAAGAAAAGTTTGTCAAATAATTTTAAAACTTTTCTGTTCAGTGCACAAATTATCATTTAATGTCATCTAGTTTAGATCTGCCATTCCTAACTTCCTGCTTCCTTTTAACTGAGCTCCTTCAGCTAATTCATGTAGTAAACAGGGAAGGAATCACTATGAGTTGAGGACAACTTTAAGCTGTAGCATTTACTAGCCCTGAACTCACTTGGAATTCCTAGTCTCTTAGACAACATATTTCCATTATCAAGTCTGTAAAGTAAGCAACAGTGAATGATGCAATTGAAAAGACAGAGAGCTGTAACACTTACATTACTGAATAGAGACCACACACAAAATCTGAAAGAGCAGCAGCTGTAACAGAGAAAAAAGAAGGAGGAAGAGGAGGAGGAGGAGGAGAAACTTCATCTACAGGATTTTTGCAGAATGATAAAAGGTGAAACTGGATAGATATCAGTGGCTCACACCTGTAATTCTAGCTACTAAGAGGCTGAGACCTACGGGGAGGATCAAGATTCAAATCCAACCCAGGTAGAAATGTGGGACTGTATCTCCAATTAATCAGTAATATGCTGGTCTAGAGACATGGTTCAAGTCATAGAGCACCAATCATAAACAAAATATCTAAGGGAGCATGAGACTTTGAGTTCAAGTCCCAATGTCGTCCCCAAGAGGATATTCCCCTCAAAAGGTGGGAAAAAAAGAATGAGGAAAAAGCAAAACAAATCCAACACCTGATTTTGCAACTAATGGGAATAAGTAACTAATGGGGATGAAATTTCCCTTGAGTGAACTTAAATCAAGCTTTTAACATCTAAAAAAATTTACAAAGATAGGTATATTCATATGATTTTGAGCATACTGAGGAGGAGGAATGGGTGAAGACAAAGCCTAATTCAGATAGGGTTTCTAGAACAGTCTTGTAAGACCCTAACAAAACTTTCTATTATAAGGAGTTTTGTCTGTATCTAAGACCTGCTGAAAATTTATAAGATAATAGAAATAAAAATCCAATAGAAGGGTTAGGAATTTACAATCATAAAATCCCAAAGAACAGAATAAGCAATTAAGACAAAAGCCAAAGGAAAAGCCAGGCCTAGTACTTACAATCCCAGCTTCTTCTGAAATGGAAAACATCATTTGAGATCAGCTCAGGCAAAAAAGTTCACAAGACCCTATCTCAATTAATAGCTGGATAAGGAGGAACACACTTATCATCCTAACTACATGGAAAGTGTTTTTTAAAAAAAGAGTAAGCTGGGTGCAGGAAATTCCCTGTGAGACTCATCTCCAATTAACCAGCAGAAAACCGGAAGTAAAGCTGTGATTCAAAGTGGTAGAGAGCTAGCCTTGAGCAAAAAGAGCTCAGGGACAGCACCCAGGCCCTGAATTCAAGCCCCACAGCTGACCAAAAAAATGAAAAAAAAATTAAGAATGAAAAAACAAAAGGGAAAAGAAAATCATGACCAGAAAGAGAACACAGATATGATGGGAAGGAAAGTTTTAAGGAAATAACGGTCAGTCCAGAAGCCTGAAAAGATCTAAAAACTTCAGCTAAAACAAACCAAACCAAATACTGCATTTGCAGGAAAATGGATGAACCTAGAACAAATCATGCTTAGTGAGGAATCCAAGCTCAGAGACACAAACAGCACATATTTTCTCTCATATGTAGAAGCTAGATCTAAAATACACTGATATGATAAATTATACAAGCCTCTAGGCATTCACAAACATTGAGACCAAAGGAGACTACTCATAGGAGAGGAACACAAAGGCATGTCTATATATATATATGTACATATATATATATATCTGATTATATATAATTATAATTATTGAAATGAACTCCAGAAAATGGAAATAAGTTTTTTCTTTTCATCTTGGTTTTTTTTTTTTTTTTTTTTTCAGGTAAGGGGTAAGTTTATTCAGTAGACCTGCTGGGACCAGGCAAGGTTGGCACTCCACGTGGCTGGGAAAGGCCTAGGAAAGAGAGAGAGCTGGGAAAGAGAGAGAGGAAAGAGAGAGAAAAGAGCTTGAGAAGAGCTAGACAAGAGCAGAGAGAGCTAGAAAAGAGCAGCAAGAGAGCAGAGAGAGAGGAGAGAGCAGAGAGAGCAGGGAGAGCTAGAAAAGAACAGAGAGATCTGGGCCTGGGCTAGGCCTTATCTAGGGTATGGGCAGAGAAAGGTGTGGCCACATCAAATTCAGATGTGACCTCAGCAGATGCAGATGTGACCTCTTCCAGGTATCCCAGTTGCCTAGGTAACGCAGGTACTGGGTGGAGACTTTGCTTGTTTGTTTGATTATCTGTTTGGGGAATGGTAAGGAGAGCGGAGATGGAGGGACAAAGGGTGAACAAATGCAGCAGTGGGACTCATTAGACTATGTTGAAAATGAACTATACAACTTGTGGGTGGGAACAGGAGGGAAAAACTGAGAGTGAGGGAAGGGGTGACTTTGTCCAAAAAGAATGTAATGTTTACCTGACTTATGTAACTGTAACCTCTCTATATATCAACTTTATTGTAATAAAAAAAATTAAGAGAAATTGCACTTAACACAAATCTTCACAAAAGGAATGGTTTAAGGGCATCAGTAAATATAGTAGGGAAAGGATTTCCAGATGTCTCTTCTCTAATATGACACCAAAAAAAGGCAAAAATGGTCAGAATCACCTTTGTTAGAATCTTGGAAATTAACCAGAGGCTTGTAGCCATCTGAAGAACAGTTAATTCAAGAGAGCCAACTGAATCTGTATAAGAACAGGGAGCTTTGTGGCAGTTAACTTGTTCTATCCCATCCGTCTCCTTACCCTTCCCCCCAACCAACATCAACAACATGCCTTCTCAGTGAAGCCAGCAGCTGGTAGCCAAAGGGAAAGCTGTATAAAAGTCTCACAACCTACATCCCATTCCTGGAAATACCTGCCAAAACCAATTAGAAGTCATGGATGAAATGTAAGGACTGCCCCAGGCAGGACACAAGCTAGGGCAGATCTTCAAGCTAACCAAAGAGCTTAATAGAGAAAAAACAGGGAGAGATGGTCATAGGGAATATGAAAAGCTCAGTGAAATCCTGGGACTCTAGAAGCCCATACTCATATCCTACGCTAAGCTAAAGCTCAAGAAAAACCTGAGAAGGCCCAAGCTCTCCATCCTAACTGACCTTGAGGCTATGTACCCAGCAGAGCAACAAATCAGGGACCCCTGACTACTTCACCCCTTTAGAGCAGGAAGTAGCTCCAAAAGAAAAGACCTCTGCCCATATTCCCAGCCTGGTATCCTTAGTTATTATTATTAAACAACAAAGTGGGGAATGCTTGCATATTCCCCACCTCAGCTCCACCCAGATCTGAGCTCCTCCCTCCCTAGAGTTCTAGCCAGACAGCTGGCCACCCAGACCTATCTGCACACAGACCGAGCCACTAGCCCCAGAGCTACCCACCTGGATAAGGGCAGACACCATATTGGTCCCTCTCAAGGAGATATGGCCTAATAAATCTTACAATAATCTTTAAAAAAAAAAAAAAAGGAAATAAGATCAAATCTTTGAGACTTTCAAGTATACAATGGTTTCATAGCTGAGATATTGAAAGCACAAGTAATAAAAAGTAATTTTAAAAAGTAATAATAATAAAAAAAAGAATAGCCAAGCTCTGGTGGCTCATGCCTATAATCTTAGCTACTCAGGAGGATGAGATCTGAGTATCATGGTTCAAAGCCAACCCCAGCAGGAAAGTCCATGAGACTCTTATCTTCAATTAACCACCAGAAAACTGGAAGTGGCGCTGTGACTCAAGCAGTAGAGCGTTCACCTTGAGCTGAAGAGCTCAGGGACAGCACCCAGGTCCAGAGTTCAAGCTCCACAACTGACAAACATAAATAAATAAATAAATAACAGAATAACTAGAATTTTTCAAAATTAAATTTTTGTGCTTCAAAGGATACTATGAAGAAAATGAAAAGAACCCACTAAATGGAACAACATATTTATAAATCAGATTTTATTAGAGATTAGTATTCACAGTATATATATAACATGCCGTAAAGAAAATCCATATACCTCAACAACAGAAAAACAGCCCATATAACTGTGCAAAACATCTTATTTGAGAGATCCTCAAAGATACATAAATGGCCAATCAGCAATGGAAGAGATGCTCAATGTCATCAGTCAAGAGAAAGAAATGCAAATGAAAACCACAATAAGACATCACCCTCAAAAATGGATTTAATCAAAAACTGACAGCAAAAAATGCTGACAAGGATGTGGAAAAAACTGAAGCTTTGCTATACTGCTGATAGGAATGTGAAGGGCCACAGTCACTTTGGAAAATAGGTTGGAAGTTCCTCAAAAAAGCATAGAGTTATCCATAATTCAACTCATATATCGCCTCCTAGATAAATACCTAAGAAGACTGAAATACATGATTACACTATAACTTACACATGAATGTTCATAGAATATTATTCGTGACTCAAAAAAATGGTAACAGCTGGGAGCCAGTGGCTCATGCCTGTAATCCTAGCGACTCAGAACACTGAGATCTGAGGATGGAGGTTCAAAGGCAGCCAAGGGACAAAAGTCCATGAGACTCTTATCTCCAATTAACTACCAGAAAACCAGAAGTGGGGCTGTAGCTCAAGTGGTAGAGCACTACTAGCCTTGAGCTGAAGAACTCAGGGACAGTGCTCAGCCCTAGAGTTTAAGCCCCATGACTGACAAAAAAAAAAAGTTAACAAAGCAAATACCTGTCAAATGATGTATAATGAAAATGTGATATACATCTAATGGAATACTATTCAGACATACAAAGGAATGAACTACTAATACATACTGTAACATTATACTTTGTGAAAGAAACCAGGTACAAAAGACCATATACTACATTTCTATGAAATGTCTAGAAAAGGGCTATCCACAGAGAGAAAATAGATCAGTGCTTGTCAAGGACTGGCAAAAGATAGAAATGGAGAGAGGTAGAGAGGTACTGAGACCTCCTTTGGGAGTGATGAAAATAGTAGATGGTAGCATGATCTTGTGAGTATATTAAAAACGAGTTGTAATGGGTAAAGGAATAGGTGACTTCAAAATTCTGCAAGATGACTATTTCCAACTCAATTCCCTACATGAAATCAAATACTGAAACAGTCCAAAAGAGTGGTCCTCAGGACTGTGTGCAAGTACCTCAGAGGGGAAAAAGGACTCTGTTTGAAAGAACCAGTTCCTCAATTACCATCTTAGAAAGCACTAGCTATTTAAAAATGCAACAATTTCAAAACAGCAACATCAGAATACTCCAAAATACAAGAGTAACAACCAGAAGAAATAAGTAAAAGATTCTCAGTAATGAGGCCCATTCTATTTTATCTAATTATTATTATTATTTTTGTCGGTCATAGGGCTTGAACTCTGGGCCTAGGCTCTGTCCCTGAGCTCTTGAGCTCAAGGCGAGCTCTCTACCACTTGAGCTACAATGCCACTTCCGGTTTTCTAGTGGTTTATTGGAGATAAGAGTCTCATAGATTTTCCTGCCCAGGCTGGCTTTGAACCATGATCCTCAGATCTCAGCCTCCTGAGTAGCTAGGATTACAGGAGTGAGCCACCAGCACCCAGCTTTATCTAATTATTTTTTTTTTAAAGAAACATCATGGGGCTGGGAAGGTGGCTCAGTGGTAGAGCGCTTGCCTTGCATGCCTGAGGCCCTGGGTTCGATTCCCCAGCACCACATAAGCAAAAAAAAAAAAAGCCGGAAGTGGCGCTGTGGCTCAAGTGGTAGAGCGCTAGCCTTGAGCTGAAGAGCTGAGGGACAGCGCCCAGGCTAAGAGTTCAGGCCCCACGACCGGACCCAAAAAAAAAAAAAAGAAAAAGAAACATCACACACTCAACTAGGTTAGCTGAACAATGTAGTGAAAAGCCAACCACTGGAGTCAGCAGAGTGGATTTTACATCTCATGATCTCATTATTATTCCCTGTAGGTTCCTGAGCTAATCTCTCTTGATTTCCTCATCTGTGAAATAGGGTAAAATTATCTGTGCTCCTGAGGAGTAGTATTTGATTTCCTATAGGGAATTGTGAGGATCAAATGAAACAAAGTAAACTGAAAAGTTTACTTTGGTTTGGATTTTTTTTTTCTTTTTTGTGGTCCTGGGTTGAACTCAGGAGCTGGGTGCTGTCCCTTAGATATTTTGCTCAAGGTTAGTGCTCTACCAGATAAGCCACAAAAAAAGCCATTTTTGACTTTTTGGTGATTAATTGGAGATATGATTCTCACAGACTTTTCCTACCCAAGCTGCCTTTGAACTACAATCCTCAGATCTCAGCTTCCTGAGTAGCTAGGATTACAGGCATGAGTCACCAGTGCCTGGTTTTGAAAGGTATTTTTAATTTTTTAATTGTTATTATAAAGGTGATGTATAGAAGGGTTACAGTTACATAAGTCAGGTAAAAAGTACATTTCTTTTTGGATGTCACCCCTTCCCTTGCTCTCTCCCAGTTTTTCTCTCCTAAAAAGTATTCTTTAAAAATAAAAAACTATGTACTTTCCCATTACAATGCAAAAGCCCATATTTCAGGTTTATTTTTATGTTAAAATTTAAGTCTATTTTAGGCTGACTAAAGTAGATATTAATGATAATGGCTAAATTGTCGGTCTTCATGTTTACTTTAATTTAATCACCTAGATTAGAAGCCAGAATAGACACAGACTCTAGATAATTCCATAATCTTCCAGATAAATGAAGCAATGTAGTTATTATCTGTAGGCTAGATTTCTTTCTCCTGGGAATAAATTACATCTTCCACAAAGTATGTGTACAGCTATCTTTGCATGCTTGTCCAGTAATTTAGAAAAAACAAACAACTTACCTTCACAGTCAAATCCTCATTACCCAGTGTGACATGAACTTGAATAGGAGGATAAACACCTTTGTCAGCATGGTGTTCCATAGTTGCTCTCATTGCATTCTGAAATATATTAGGGTTACATTAAAAATACACCTTTTGAAGAAAAGATGCTAATTATAATTTTTAAAAACATATGCACTATATAAACTTTAAAAAATTAATCACAATAGAAATATGCCAAAGAACAGTAATTTTATGGATATAGTTACTTTATTAAATGTTGTGTCAATTTTAGGAGACTTGCAGGATATTTTGATTTAAAGACTCCAATCAAGATTCACTTATTTTCCAAAACTAGTCTTCTAAACACTTAACTAATTTACATTAGAGCAAGAAATTCTGCCCATTTTTATAATTATTAGATAATGGACATAATTTATCTTTTAAGAACCACTGGCCAAAATCCCTCCCTTCCCCCATTCCTTCCTTTGTTCTTTTTCTGGTGGTATTGGAATCTGAATTTAGACTTGTGCTTATTAGATGAATGCTCTACCATATGAGCCATGTCCCCACACCTTTTCTGCATTAATTTTTCAGATAGGGCTTCATGCTTGCATTTTCCACAGAGATGTAACATCACAATTTCTTTATGAGAAAATTATGCTTTTCATACAGTAGCAATGGTCTTCCAATGATTATTTCCCTTACCACTGATTTGAAACGAAGGATATTTATATTGTAAAACTGTTTTTGATCAATTTCAACATATCAAAAACATTAACACTACCCATCTGACAAACAGCACTGGAAAAGAAGCTACTTAAAACTAAGCAAAACTAACCTGATTAAAAATAAGTAAAACATGCAAACATCTGGGCTGAATTTGGAAATAAAAGCAAACATCTCAGAAAAGACGGCATCCACTCTATCAAAGGCAGTTTAATATTAGGTTCTAGATGAAAGCCATTACTGGCTTTTGTTGTTATGGGGGCAGACATTTCTAGAGAAAAATAGCTTTAACATTTTAAGTGCCAAGTACTATTTATTCTACCACTGAAGATTTTTGTAAAATATTAGATATATTCTTATTGTCTTAGAATTGTTGAACCCTTGCTTTCTGAGAGTTTTCTGTTTTAGTACACTTTTCTTTTTTATCATCAGAGAGAAAGCCACCACTTCTTTGAAAGACTGCAAGTGTCTGATTTAGGACAGTCCTATTCAGCTACAAAGATGAGTGCTATTCATCACCCACCATTTTGTCAACCAGCAAGTTTCACTGGGGAGCAAAAGGTCCTCTCAATTTTACCAGCATAATTTTATTTCGTTTTCAAAAAAATGTATTTTTTTGCTGGTTCTGGGGCTTGAACTCAGGGCTTGGGCACTATCCCTGAGCTTCTTTTGTTCAAGGCTAGTACTCTACCACTTCAGCCACAGCTCCACTTCCAGCTTCTTCTGTGATTAATTAGAGATAAGAGTCTTACTGACTTTCCGGCCCCTGCTGGCTTTGAAACTCAATCCTCAGATCTCAGCCTCCTGAGTAACTAGGATTATAGCCATGAGCCACTGGTGCCCAGCTTAGTTTTCAATTTTTGTTGTAAAAAGCAATATAACATAAGCTCTGTAATACAATATAAATATAAATGACTTGACTTGGTCTTTTGTGGCAGGATTGAACTTAGGGCCTCAAGCTTGCTAGGCAAGCTCTCTATCATATAGGCCACATTCACCATTCTCCAGTCTTTCATTTTTATGTTTTATTTCTATGATAGGTGGGGTCTTGATAATTGTGCCTGTCTGGTCTCAAACTCCAGATCCTCCTGCCATTATCTCCCCACCAGCTAGGATTATAGACATGTACCATCATACCTAATATAAATGACTTTCTCAGGGAAGAAAAAAAAAAGGCATGCTTACCAGTGGGGCTCAATGGTAGAAAAGAATTACTCTTCTAAATATTTTTGGCTTATGAAAATATGAGTATAACTTCATCAAGCGTCTATAACGTGCTGCTACTAGGTCACTTAGTATGCTACTCCTAATCTTCACAAATAATCCTAGATAGAATTATCCCTGTTTTACAGAAGAGAAACTGAGGCTCAGAGAGCCCGAGTAACCTACTGGACAAGTCACTCATTAAGCGAAGTCATTCTCAGGCCTTTCTGACTCCTAAATCTGGGTTCAACACTACTATATGGAGACACCTTCTTGCTAACAAAAGGTTCACCTCTAGCAATGTGATGTGAAAATGACATGAAATGGCATATTTTGAGGAAGCAGAAGAACCCAAAGGAATATGTGACTCACAGAGTAGATTCCTATCCTGAGGCAGGGGTTGATAGAGGTTATGCAATACCATTTTACAAACCTTGAAAAGTTCAAACACCATGTGATAGAGGTGGGATGGTACATAAACCACTTGTATTGGCTGTCCTGGTGATTTTGCTACAGAGCAGAAGAGAAAAATATGAAAGTACAGAGAGATGTGCTTACAGCATTTTTAAGAATAAATTGTGTAGTGATGAAAAGAAAATGTTCATTATGGAGGACAGTATTATTGGGGTAGAACTGTCACACCATTTCTTCACACTATTAGTGTTTATATCCCACCCTCATAAACATTTTGCAGCTGACAATGACAAGGGCCCTATGGCCATCCCTTACAATTCAGTCTAATAAGTTAACCAACCCATCCTCCCTTACTTCTCTTTCTTGGCAAGTCTTTGAAAGGACACTCAATCTTTATATAGAGATTATACTTTCCAAAGAGAGGCTTTAAAAATAAAAAGCTATTTTCTAGTTTTCTGAATGTGTCACCTGGGTGAAACACTGTCTCCCTTGTTTCAGACATTTCTATGTATAAAAAAGTCTTAAACTAGCATCCATTTCTCAAGAAGCACACACACACACACACAAAAAAAAAAAAACCCAGTTAGTGGCAAATGGAGGAGGGAGGCTATGTGTACGTAAAACAGACCTTTAGAAAAGCAAAGGAATAATTCATCATACCTCAGAATAATTGAACCAATAAATCAACTCTAATTCAACTAATAATCAGACTCTACTCTGAGTAAATTAGCTCTTGGGAACAAGAATGGGACATGCGCACACTGCCCACAGCAGTTGAGGCTCCCCAGCTAGCATGTGCACACTGTATATTTACTAAATGGTGCCATTGTGAATCAAAGATCAATACAGCTTTAGAAACCCACCAAGAAATTCTATTTTCAACTGGTAAGTTCCTCCACTACTCTCCTATTCTGAGAATAAGAATATGCTTTTAAAAAGCCTACTTAATTTTTTTCTTCCCACTACCTTCGTAAAAGTATCATCTGAACCTAGGAAATGTTTTCCTCCTTTGTCAAACTACCATACCTCCAGGAAAACATTGAGCCTCAATCTCCTTCCAAGAGAACAAAACCATTTTTGTCTAAAAGGCACTAGTCAGGGTAAAGGAAAGACCACCAGAAAGAAACGGATTCAAGTAAATGAGCAGCTTTCTTTCCGCTCTTACACACCTAGTCATCTGACTTCTTCAACAATAAAAATGGTTTACAACTTAAGCAGAAAAAAAGGATAATATATGTGTTACTGAGGTATATACAAAAATCAGATGTAACTTTCTTGGCACCATTTTTCTTATGACTATCAAGAAAATTAAAAATAAGCAAAGAATCAAAGTTATCACTTTAAGGGACATAAGCTGAAAAAGTTAAAATGCTTTTCATAAGAAATCTAACTATACATATACATATATACATATGTATATGGGTTTGTGTGTACATACACATATTTTATATGATTGCTCTTTAGCCTTTTTAATCAGTGAAGAGTTGATGACAATGTCCTTCTCTAGCAAAACAAATTTAATTCTACTATGATTTCTTGTCAGGTGGGCATAACAATCACTGAGGAAAGGACAACACCAGGCAGACTTACCATTTAGTTCTTCAAGTTCTAGTTCGGGAGAGTTTATATAATATAAATCACAAAGACGCCTAGCATTTTCATAGCCATCTAGTATGAATCAAAACAAGACAAAAAAAGCATTAAATAAATTTACTTCTGTTTCATGCAGTAAGATAGCAACAGTACTGACAAATGAAAACTTAAAATTCTTTTTTTTTTTTTTTTTTTTGGTCAGTCGTGGGGTTTGAACTCTGGGCTTGAGCGCTGTCCTTGTGCTCTTTAGCTCTACCTCTTGAGCCACAGCACCACTTCCAAAAAACTTAAAATTCTTTACAGGAAAACATACACTTTACAACCTTAGGATGGTAAATGTCTTTCATATGACAAAGCCTAACAGCTACAATAGAAAAATGACAAAAATTAATAACATCTGCACAGAAAAATATACCATAAAAGAAGCAAAAGAAAAAGAGCAGGCAAAAAAATATTTATAATATACTTATCAAAAACAGCTGGAGAAGCCGGGCGCCAGTGGCTCACGCCTGTAATCCTAGCTACTCAGGAGGCTGAGATCTGAGGATCGCGGTTCAAAGCCAGCCTGGGCAGGAAAGACCATAAGACTCTTATCTCCAATAAACCACTAGAAAACCGGAAGTGGCGCTGTAGCTCAAGTGGTAGAGCGCTCGCCTTGAGCTGAAGAGCTAAGGGACAGCGCTCAGGCCCAGAGATCAAGCCCTATGACCACAAAAAAAAAAAAAAAAAAAAAACAGCTGGAGAAGCTGTAGAGAATAGGTACTCAATCCATTTTACTTTTTTTTTAAGAGTATTCAATTTTAAATGCTTATAAATGTTTTCAAGTCTACAACTATTTCCTTATAAAATACTAACAAAAAGCAGTATAAGCTGAGTGCTGGTAGCACACATCTATAATTCTAGCTACTTGGGAGTCTGAGATATGAAGGACTATGGTTTAAAGCCAGTCTGGAAAAGCCCTCTAGAGTCCATCTCCAAAAAATAATCAGCAAAAAGTCAAGCAGCAAATATGGTCCAGGTATTAGAGTACCAAAAACAAGCATTATAAGCAAGCTCAAATGTTTAAACCCTGAGTTCAAACCCCAGACATGAAAAAATCAATAGATATATATATATAAAGACATTCACTGTAGTACTGCTGGGTAAAGGGAAAAAAATGAAAATAGCCCAAGTGCATATCAACAGGAGGGCAGATTAACACATACTGATAACATTCTACGTAACTACTAAGAAGCTTGGAGTATATCCATATGCATTGACATAGCAAAAGATCTGTAAACTTCCCACTTTCTAAAAACAACCAAAAATATAAAACCAATAATTTTGTTTGTGGGTGGGCACAGGGGGTATAAACAGACAAGATAGAAATAAACTGTTATGAATTATTGTTCCTAATGTAAGAACTTAGAAAGAGGAAACTAGGGACTTAAATTTTGGGGAGGGAAAGATAACTAGATTGTACCACTAAACTTTGCTAACAAAGAATTCTATCAACGTTCATCTTATATATAATGAACAACTAATGTTATAAGGAATTAAAAAAACCCACATATTTGCTTCTAACATTTTCCCTAATGACACAAACAGATGTTTTAATAGCAAAAACAACACTCAACACTTGGATTTCTGTATCATTTTAGAAATGAAAGAATACCTTTAATAACTTCAACCACATTGCAGTTTGGATTTATGCTTCCAATGTGTTTTCTATGAGAAGGACTTCCTTTTCCACCAAATAATAAAGCTATTAAAAATAAAAACAAATAAAAAGTAAAAAAAATGTACTGAATGTCCTTTTCCAGATTTGAATAGTTTCCCTAAATGGTACAAAACAGTAGAAAAAATATTTTCCTTAAGTATAAACACAGTATTCGTTTTCAATTAAGATGGAGGGCAAATAATATAAAAATTTAGCATAGGAGACTTACTGAAAACTAGCAAACCCTAGGGGGCAAGAGAGGGTGGGGAAAGAGAGAGCAATAGAGGGGGTTAATCTGACTAAAATATATGTAGGCAAGAAATGTCATAGGAAAGCCCTTTTGTGGAGCTGGGTGCCAGTGGCTTACACCTGTGATCCTAGCTACTCAGAAAGCTGAGATCTGAGGATGGAAGCCAGCCTGGGCAAGACAGTCTATGAGACTTTCCAATTAACCACAAGAAAATCAGAAGTAGCACTGTGGCTCAAGTGGTAAAGCGCTCACCTTGAGCTGAAGAGCTCAGGGACAGCACCCAGGCCCAGAGCTCAAGCCCCACAACTGACAAAAAAGAAAAAAAATCAGTCTATTCAACACTATTTGTAAAAACAACTGACACATTCAAGTTAAGTTAATTCAATTTACCATTAAGAAAACAATCTGCTTTGGCTGGGCGCTGGTGGCTCGCGCCTATAATCCTAGCTACTCAGGAAGCTGAGATCTGAAGATCTCAGTTCAAAGCCAACCCAGGCAGGAAAGTCTATGAGACTCTTAACTCCAATAAACCACTAGAAAGCAGGAAGTGGCACTGTAGCTCAAGCGGTAGAGCGTTCACCTTGAGCTGAAGAGCACAGGGACAGCACCCAAGCCCAGAGTTCACGCCCCATGACTGACCAAAAAGAAAAAAAAAAGAAAAAAGAAAATAATCTGCTTTGTATCTCATACTTTTCTTAATAAGCAAAAAGTATGTTCTCTTTAAAGGAAATTTAAATAAATTTAGAATATACCAACAGACGTTTGGCATAAATGTCGAAATAAATTTAAAATACCAATAGACATTTCTATTTCTCTTGGCTTTGGGATACTTACAGTGTTGATTGAGCAACATTCTAATTGAAATGCGACTCATGTAAAATCGATCCAAAAAGTATTGAACATTCTGGCTGGTAACAGGATCTACTCCAAAGCTTTCCTTGTATTCAGTCACACCCTGTGCCATTGTGGGAATGACATCATTGTGTCGGTTTCTGATCCGTATCACAGTATCTGTAAAGCTAAACAAACCTGTCTGTCAAGACAGCCAAATATTGTGACAAATGAGTTTAATACTAAAGTATAAATTTAAGCAACAATGGTAGACTAGAAACCATTAGTTCAGTATGAGAAACATCAATGAGTATTTTCCTAAACTGAAATATATTTCAGATTATAAAATATAGCAGATCTACCAAGGAGTAAGGACAGATCTCCAAAATAAGACTTTCACAATTTAATTCTTAACTTCTTAGAATAAGATTGCCATACAACACAACTGTAAATGGGTTGAATTTTCCTTATCCTTTATAAACGAAACTCATCTGAGAACTTGTTAGTGAGGCTAGTATTCCAGAGACTTTCTAAGCAAGAACAAGCAGAAAAAGCACACTCTGTAACAATCAAAATGCAAAGGGTCATTTGGATATTTATAAGATCATTATGGGCCACAAAATTATCAATGTGAGCAGACTGACGTGGTTAGTCAACAAGAAGCATTCTGTGCCTAATCATCCAAATGATGAGGCTTGTATATATCTGTGGGCTAGATGTTTCCCACCAGCAGGTAACTGAGGTGACTACCAGGATTTATCAATTCTGTCATGTTGGTTATGAAATTGTTCATATTACTTAACATTATTTTATAAATCACAGGTCAGAGAGACCCATAGACATGGTGTTTTTTGTTGTTGCTCAGCATAACAAAAGAATTATAACTAGTTACCAATCTTTCAAAATTGGGAGCTTTACAGTGAAAATACAGTTACGTGTGTGTGTGCGTGTGCGTGTGCGTGTGTGTGTGTGTACGTGTGTACATGTGTACGTGTGTACGTGCAGGTCCTGGGGCTTGAACTTAGAGCCTGAGTGCTATCCTTGAGCTTTTGTGATAGAGACTAGCACTCTACCACTAGTTACCAATCTTTCAAAATTGGGAGCTTTACAGTGAAAATACAGAGGTGTGTGACTTAGAGCCTGAGTGCTATCCTTGGAGCTTTTGTGATAGAGACTAGCACTCTACCACTAGTTACCAATCTTTCAAAATTGGGAGCTTTACAGTGAAAATACAGGGTGTGTGTGTGTGTGTGTGGTGTGTGTGTGTGGTGTGTGTGTGTGTGCGCATGCAGGTCCTGGGGCTTCAACTTATAGCCTGAGTGCTATCAGTGAAAATACAGAGGTGTGTGTGTGCGTGCATGCGTGTCCTGGGGCTTGAACTTAGAGCCTGAGTGCTATCCTTGAGCTTTTGTGATAGAGACTAGCACTCTACCAATTATGCCACAGCTCCACTTCCAGCTTTTTGACAGTTAATTGGTGATGAGAGTATCACAGACTTTCTTGCCTGGCCTAACTTCAAACTGTGATCCTCAAATGAGTATCTAGGATTAAAGGCATGAGCCACCATACCCAGCTTCAACTTTTATTTAACAATAGAAAAATTCAGCATTTGCACATAGCCATGATGAAGAGCTGAGGGGAGGCATCTATTCTCCCAACAATCCAAACTGTACACCTTTATTTCCACTGATCATCACATTTGAACTTTGGCTTTTCATATGTAAAGAGGAATATGAAGCATGTGTATCCACCCTCAGCTCACTGATTTTGTTACCTGCCTTGTTTCTATAGGTTTCTTTAAACAGATGTTCACAAGTACTGGAAATCTAAAAGTTACTCAGTTTCCCCAAAAGTAGCACATTTAAGCATAACAGATTAATTTTTATATGATGTTTGAGGGTATAAAAACTGTGCTTAGAATAAGGTCCAACTAGAGTACTTACTCATAAATAGTTTTAGCATTTTCAGCACTTTTGTCCTTAAAATCAAGAAGCTCCTGAAGACTCTGGATGTACCTAAAATACAAATCAATAGTGGTTTGTTCTTCTATATTACAAATATTAAATGTTGTGAAAGTTATTTCAAAACCTATTTTAAACATTATATATATATATGTATATATATAATTATTTTTATTTTTATTTTTTGCCAGTCATGGAGCTTGAACTCTGGGCCTAGGTGCTACCACTTGAGCCACAGCACCCACTTCTGGCTTTTTTCTGTTTATGTGGTGCTGAGGAATTGAACCCAGGGCCTCATGCATGCAAGGCAAGCACTCTACCGTTGAGCCACCTTCCAGCCCCATTTGATAATTTTAAATGTAGAATACTGCTATAAATTATGACTGAAGTAAGTAGGTTTTTTTAATATACATTCATGTTTGAATAAAGCAACAAGAACAAAGTAGGAGAAAGTACATATTTTTTGTGTTTAAAAGCATAGGTCAGAGGTGGGAGTTGCAGTTCAATGGTAAGCCAAGTGCCTAGTTAGAATTTATACACCTATCTATCTATCTATATAAACATAAAAAGCATTGGTCAAATTTGATTGAGGTTTTTTTCTGTTTTTCTGCTTTATTTTTTTTTATTTATTGTGAAAATACCGTACAGAGGCGTTACAATTACATGAGCAAGGTAATGAGTACATTTCTTATCAAGCATTGTTGCCTCCTCCTTTGTTTCCTCTTCCCATCCCTTCCCATCTCCCCTCCTTCCCCTCCTTCCCCTCCCACCCCACCAAAGTTGTAAAGTTAGTTTTTCGACATAATGTCTTGTACATCTCATTGTTGCAATGGGTCCACCTGTATCCCTATTTAAACAATTTGTTTTTTCCCTTCCCCTCCACAAATGAGACCAACTTCAAATACAGTGAAAACAGGGGTTATACCATGGAGGAGGGATATACAAAGCAACAAAGAAATATGTTAGAAACAATAGCAAGAAAGAAAAAACATTTGAGTCCTTATCTTGGGGTTCATTTCGCCTAACATCAACTTATCTGACTGTTTCTGCTTGTCTCAGACATATACTAGTTATTGCAAATAAGGGAAACCATGGAACCTATGTTTAAGAGGTCCTTATTCCTTTTAAATTCTACAACTTATAATCGTTTCAAAAATGATTCAATCCCAATATATATTTATGGGGGGGGTAAATAATGACTATCATGAGACTTGAATCTGTTACACTATGTAATCTTGAGCAAATGAACTTAGACTCATTAAGAACAGCTTACCTTCCTTTGTCTAAAAGTCTGATGTTAATGCTTTAAAACTTTAATGTTATCCCATTGCCAGTGGCTCACCCTTGTAATCCTGGCTACTCTCAGGAGACTGAGATCTGAAGGATGGTGACTGGATGTCAGCCCAGGGAAGAAAAGTCTGTGAGACTCCATCTCTCAACAATCAGCAGGGCTGGAGGTACAGTTCAAGTGGTAGTGTGCCAATCAGGCACACAAAAAATTTCAATTTAATTTTTGTAGTAATTGAGCTTGCTCAGCTCAATTGCTTGACAGAGCTCTACTATTTGAAATGTACTTCCAGCCCAGAACTTGAGATGTTTGTGTCCAATCAATAAATATTTCTTGGAAACCTACACTATGCCATATGATTTTTTAAAACAAAACTGAATAATATGAAAGCCATAAAAATGTTTGATTTATCTTAAAATTTAAGGTAACAAAGTACTTAGAAATAACAAAAAAAACAAAAGGCAATTTATTTTCTCATGCAGCCAAGTACAATGGCACTACAAGGGCCAAGGCTAAAAATACCTTACCACTATTCAATTACCCTTTTCAACAGTTTTAAGTCCTGATTGGTTAAGAACTTTTCCCAGGGACAATGAAAGAATCTTTAAATTCTGTGAATCTGTATGTACATTTGGGAAGCTGTACTGGACAAGTAACAGACTTCAACAAGACTTTACCTTCCCTAGTCAAGTGATTCTGATAGCTGCTATTCTGTTTATACCTTAATTTTCTTTTCATTGGCAAGAGATAAACAAATAACTGTCCTAGGACAGTATTGTTAGATGCTAACAACATTAGTTAGCATCTAATTATCATATATGTAGCAATCATACTTCTTTTGTCTATTTTTAATTAATGTTAGGGCAGCTTTCTTACAAACTATAATGCTTACAAAAGGATTAATAAGGATCTCTATGAACATCATTGGGAAATTTGATGCGGTTAAAATTTTCCCATTTAAGACTTAATTATGGAGCAAAGGGGTGACATTGTCCAAAAAGGAATGTACTCATTACCTGACTTATCAAACTGTAACCCTCTGTGTATCATCTTTATAATAACAATAAGAAATGTCAAAAAATACCTAACTCTGGCCAGTTATCAGATAGATAGATACATACATACATACACACACACATACATACACACATACATAGATAGATATACAGATACACAGATACATAGACAGACCTTAAAAGAATAAAACTTTTAGCCAGATAAGGTGGTTCACATTTGTAATCCCAGATATTTAGGGGACAGGATCAGGAAGAGCATGGTTCAAGGCCAGCTAGAACAAAAATTTAGCTATCTCAGTGTAAAAGTTGGGCATGATAGTACACCTGCCATCCCAGGTACATGGAAAGCTAAAACAGAAAGACCAGTAGGGCAAAAAAATCTCAATACCAACCTGAAAAATAGGTAAAGCAAAAAAGGTTGAATATGTGGCTCAAGTGATAAGAACTCCTGCCTAGCAAGTGTGAAGCCCCGAGTTCAAACCCAGCACCAAGGGGGAGGCGGGGGAGGAGAAGGAATAATACTTTTAAGATCAACAACATTAAGAAAGGCTATAGCTAGATGTCATATAGTAATAAATGCACTTAAAATGTTTACTATCATTTTTTGGAGGAGAAACAAGCTTTCGAAAACTTCTGTTTGGGGGTTATTTTTTGTTAGTCATTGGGCTTGAACTCAGGGCCTGGGCGCTGACCCTGAGTTTTAAGCTCAAGGCTAGCACTCTACCGCTCTAAGCCACAGCTCCAATTATGGGTTTCTAGTGGTTAATTGGAGATGAGTCTCATAGACTTTCCTGCCTGAGCTGGCTTCAAACCATGACCCTCAGATCTCAGCCTCCTGAGTAGCTAGAATTACAATCATGAGCCATGAACACCTGGAAACTTCTATTTTAAACTGGAAAAGATCAGGATTTTATGTGTGCACATATTAAAATATCACACTGAGCCCATTAATTCATGCAATTAACACATGCCAAGTAAAAAATAAAAGAAGAATAAGTCAGATGTCAGTGGCTCACATCTATAATCCTGGGGGACTAAGATCTGAGGACTGCAGTTTGAAGCCAGCTCAAGCAGGAAAAGTCCATAAGAGTCTCCTCTCCAAATAACCATTAAAAAGTCAGAATGGAGCTGTAGCCAAAGTACAAGAGCGCTAGAGCCTTGAGGACAAAGGCTCATGGACAGCACCGAGGCCCTGAGTACAAGCCCCAGGACCAGCACACAAAACAAAACAAAAACAAACAAAAAAACCTGGAAGAAAAAAGAGTTTCAACTTTTTGTAATCAGTTTATTAAAAAAAACACCTCTGGCATTCATCATTCTGATGATGTTCAGGCACAATACATAGTAATTCATGAATCTGAGCTGCAATCCCAGAAGGAATTAAAAGAAATGTACATAAATATTTGGCCATCAACAAATGGTAGCTTGCCTGGTGCTAGTTGCTCCTGACAGTATTCCTAGCTACTCAGGAGGTTAAGACCTGAGGATGGTGGTTTGAAGCCTGTAGGGGCAGGCAAGTAAATGAGACTTTTTTTTTTGGTCAGTTGTGGGGCTTGAACTCTGAGCCTGGGTGCTATCCCTCAGCTCTTCAGCTCAAGGTGACCGTTCTACCACTTGAGCCACAGTGCCACTTCTGGTTTTCTGAGTAGTTTATTGGAGATAAGAGTCTCACGGAGTTTCCTGCCTGGGGCTGGCTTTGAACGGTGATCCTCAGATCTCAGCCTCCTGAGTAGCTAGGATTGTAGGCAACTCAGCCTTCTCACCTTTATACATTCATAACACACATAAGGCAGAAGAGAACTACTGATACTATCTTAAGACTCTACTAAATAGTAAAAATCATGTGCCTTAAACTTAAGAAAAGTCTATTAAATCCACTAAAACTGAAACCACAAGATGGAATCTTACCAGCTTTGTACCAATTGAACGGATGGGGTTCTGAGAAGATTATCTGGAAGAAGACTTATTTCTTTCATTATATTTGCCAATCGAACAGGTAACTCTTGCCGCAGAAACATAAATGAGGTCTTTTCACACGCATTTACTGATCCTGAAACCAAACACAATGGGAAAAACAGTAAGTGTCCATAAGGCATCAGAAGCCAGACAGCAAGGTGACAACCCAGAGGGAGTCAGTCACCCAGCAGGCCAGAGGAGTAGAGAACCACCATAATGACCAGCTTCACTTAAAGTTACACTAAAATAGTCCTATTATTTCAGCAATGCATTGTACACTAATTCCAATCTTGCTGCTTTAGCAGTCAACCATCGTAAAAAAAAAAAAAAAAAAAGACACAGTCAGCAGCTGGAATTACTATATCAAAGGAAAACATCTTGTGAACCAGGTCAAATCCATCCCTTCGCCACACTCTAGTCATTTGAATGGAAAGCACAAACAAAACCTGTGGGCTCTGAGCCATAAAAGGGGGGCGGGGGGCAGGGGCCCTGACACTGTAAAGTAGTTGTAAGATAAAGAGACTACTGGTTATCTTTCAAGCTAAGGATGGTGGTCACCTGATAGCACTCACCAAAGCAAACTAAGATTCTACGTAAACTTGAAGACTCTGAAGTGTCTATTCAGTTTTCTCCTTTCCTTTCATTGCTCGGATTAGAAAGTGCAGTCTCTTCCCTGCAACCTGCCACACACCCTCCAGGGGAAAGCAGGGTGAAAAGCCGTACGCTGGACCAACCCTTCGGCTCGTGCACTTCGCACGTGTACACGACCTCTTGGCCGCTGAGGAACGAACGTGCTCGTCGGTGGGAAACCTCGAGCCACGAGTCAGGAAAACATTCCAGGAAAATGTGGGGCCCGTTGGAACTTGTAGGCAGTCATCGTACGATTGCACGGATCGTCACTCTGCAGAACCCCAGCTAGACACCTGGAGGGGCGACACCTGGAGGGGCACCTCGCCCCGCGGGGCCCGGAGAGGCGGGGCCGCGCTCGGGTTGGTTTTCGACCCCGCAGCGCCAGGCACCCCACGAGTCTCCAGTTGTTTACGCGGCCCGCAGGAGCCCGGACCCTCGGGGAGGAAGGAAGCAGAGGAAGGAGGCGGTGGGAAGGGCTGGTGCTCCGAGACCCGCGGGGGCCGGCGCGGCCGCAGCTCCCCCGCACGGCGCGCACAAAGGCCGGAGGCCCGGGCCGCACTCACCGAAGTCTAGGAACTGCTTCATGGAGAGCGGCGACGGCGAGAAGCGCGCGTAGAAGTCCACTTGGCCCGGAACGCCGCGTTCCGACGCCGGCCTGGAGCTCGAGTCCGAGGCAAGGCCGCGGCAGACGCTGGGGCCCGCGGGGCGCCACCCTAAGCCGGGGGCCCCCGAAGCGGCTCCGAGCAGCAGCCGCGCCAGCTTCATGCCGAGCGCCGCCCGAGGAGCCCGTGTCCCTGACACCAGCTCCCTTCTCCCCGCCGCGGCCAGGCGCTACGTGCGGGACGTGGCGGGCCGCGGCTGTCACCGCCGAGGAGCCCGTCCCCCCGGCTCCCCCGGAGCCCCGCCCCTGGGGAAACCACACCCTTGTGTGGGCGGGGTCTCTGTGGATGGGGGCGGAGCGACGCGGGGAAGGCGTGCGCGGGCGGCCGCGGGATAGGAGCAGACCTTCGGCCGGGACCCCCGCCTTGGTCGCCCTGTGTGGCCCGCCCTTCCCATGCCCTTTCGAGCAAATGCCACCTTCCTGCTTCCTCATCTCTCAATATCTCAGTCCAAAGGCTCTAGGTAGGCTGCGATCTGCTAGTTCCAGACTCCTCCTCCCCCTCTCCCTCCCGGCTTTAGGAATGGAGCCCCGTCTTTTTCAAGTGTGCTGGAAGAATCGGGGAACTTCCAAGAGCTCACACTTGCCAGACAGCCGCACCGAAGCCGGAGTGTGGGGCGCTGCCCCAAAGCGGATCACCGAGACCTCCCCCTTGCGGGACCGAGCGGGAGAGTGCTCTCCCGCTGGGCAGCCCAGCTCGCGGGTCGCTCGCTCCGCAGGCCCGGCGCATGGGCGTGAGCAGCGCTGCGGGGCACGCGGGCCCGCCGCGTGGCTGCTCCACCTCGCCAGGCTTCTAAATGGTGAACCTAGGACCGGACGGTTTGCAATGTTAGTTTAAGACAATCACTTTCCCAGTGTCTGGCAGCCTGTTATCCTAGCTATTCAGGAGGCTAAGCCCTGGAGGATTGCAGTTGGAAGCCAGCCATAGCAGAAAAGTCCCCAAACTCCAACTCCAATTAACCAGCAAAATGCTAGGCTGGAGGCATAGCCAGCCATGAGCAAGAAAGCTGAGAGTGCAAGATCCCGTGTACAAGACCTAGTACTCAAACACACACACACATCATCATCATCATCATCATCATGGTCCGTTCTTGAATTGTGTAAAAAAATATATTTATATGAGATGAGATTCACTTTGGGGACTGTATTAGTGTGTATGCGTTTAGCAAAAAGAGAAACATTTACTACCTAGTGTTAGCCTTCCCTCCTCCATCTTCTTACCCAGTCTGCCACCTTAGACCTTCGACAAAAACAAAACTGCCTTTCCCTGAAATCAGGTGATGCAGGCCTTTCCCTGAAAACAGATAGCACAGGCTTTTACCTGAAAACAGGTGAGGTAGGTGGCTGCAATCTCAAGTGGCAGCCCCTCCCCAAAATACAATTTCCCTCTCCCTTGTTTGTGCAGCTACAACTGTAAATGTTAACCCCTTGCACAAAGCAGTTTCCCACTTTCACGTTCCACATGAACCCAGCCCTATAAAATTGTGCTTATAGCCCTACCGTAGCCTGTCAGGTTCCTGACATTGAAACACCTCTTCCTTTGTAACCAAGTGTCCGAGTGATTTTCTTGGGCAAGCCTTTTACCTAAAAATATGTTGGTAGTTAGGGATTAGAAAAGGAAAAATAATTGCCTCAAGCATAGTGTTTTATTAGAATAGATGGCTGTAAGGAAAGTGATAAACAAGAAAAAGAGATTAATTAACATGTATATTTCATGTATTCATGAGAAATACTCAGAGCTAAGTAATTCTCAAGCGACCTTAGCAAGTGCCAGCAAACCACACCTGTAAATCCTAGCTACTCAGAAAGATCCAGAGGATGAAGGTTTAATTCTGCCACACTGTTTCCAAAATAATGAGCAAAATAAAAGGCTGGAGGTGTGAATCAACTGAAGAGTGCCAAGCAAGCTCAAACCCAATAATCACCAAAACAAAGCAAAAATAATGGCCTTGAATTCCAATTTATATAGTCTGCAACAAAGAATAGTAGATGTTTAGACATGAAATTTAGAAAATAAAGCACTTTAAGTCTTTAAAAAAATATTTGCACATCTTCAGTTATAAAAGGGGTTTCATTACTACATTTCCACACATGGCTACAGTGTACCCCCATCAACCTCCCTATTCTTCTCCTTTATTCCCCTGCCTCTTTCTTTTTTTTTTTTCATTTTTGTCGGTTGTGGGGCTTGAACTCTGGGCCTGAGTGCTGTCCCTCAGCTCTTCAGCTCAAGGCGAGCACTCTACCACTTGAGCTACAGCGCCACTTCCGGTTTTCTGGTGGTTTATTGGAGATAGGAGTCTCACGGTCTTCCCTGCCCGGGCTGGCTTTGAACCGCGATCCTCAGATCTCAGCCTCCGGAGTAGCTAGGATTACAGGCGTGAGCCACCAGCGCCCGGCTCCCCTGCCTCTTTCTTTTTGGGGAGAGGGGAGGGGCGAGGAGGAAGTTGTAGCGCTTGAACTCAGGGCCTGGGGGCTGTCCCTGAGCTCTTTTAATCAAGGCCAGCACTCTACCACTTTGTGCCACAGCTCCATTTCTGATTTTTTTTTGAGTGGTTAATCTGAGAAAAAAGTCTCATGGGGACTTTTCTGCCCAGGCTGGCTTTGAACCATGACCCTCAGACCTCAGCTTCCTGGGTAGCTAGGATTACAGGTATGAGCCACAAGTACGTGACCTGGGCCTGGTTTTTGCCTTCCCTTTTCTTTTTTTTAATTTGTATTTATTTATTTTTTGGTACTGGTCCTGGGGCTGAAACTCAAGGGGCCTGGGTGCTGTTTTTTTAGCTTTGTTGCTCAAGGCTAGCACTCTACCACTTGAGCCAAAGCTCTACTTCTGGCTTTTTTTGTGTGATTATTTGAAGATAAGAGTCTCAGGTACTTTCCTGACAGGACTAAAACTGTAAGTAGTTCTGGGTTCCCAAGTTCATGTCCAGAATGTTAATGACATAGAAGCAAACAAGTCAAGTTTATTCAGAGGATAGAATAAAGTTCCTGCACAGGAAGAAGAAGAGGGAAACTGAAGCAGGCTCAGAGTCTAGGGGGTTTATATTTTGTGCTGGGTATGTGGATTTATTTTTCAATGGTAAGGATTGTTGGCATTGATGGATTGCCCAGTTTTTCTGTAACTAGGGTGAATTAGAGGTCAGATTGCTTCATCTAGCAATGACTTTTAACTGACTATTAAAAGTTGAGAGTTCTCTGTGTTTTCGTATAAAAAGCATTTAAAATTTAACTGTCTGCCAAACAGGACAAGAGGAAGGGCAACCTTGCAAAACTTAGCCTCCCAGGTCTGTAAAACATAGTCCTGTTTTTCTTAGGAGAGAGCTAGTGTCTTAACACCCATTATGGCAGGGGCAGTCAACTACTCACTTGTGTGTTTTCCTGGCTGGCAATTTGATACCAAAGACAGAGATCTTGTGGCCTTATTATTATTACTATTATTTTTAACTAGGGTCTTCCCTTCCTTTCCACATCTTCAAATATTCAAATACAGTCCCTCTGTGAAAGAGCAAAGTTTGTTCTATATGGCCCACATAGCAGACGGAAGGGCTTTAGGGTGGAAACCCTGGATGGAGGTAGATCTGACTCAACATGGCTAAACTTAATATGTATGGGCAAAAATTCTCTGTGAGATGGACTCTTGTCAATGACCTTTAGTCAATAGCCTGGATACCAGCTTGGTAAGGAGGATGCAGGGAGGATTATGAAAAGAGACTAGGTTTTGAATCCTGGTTTTGCAATCTGCTGGCTATGGGTCCTTCTGTGGCTTAACTTCTCTGAACCTCAATCTACTCACTCAAAAAAGAAGCATAATATCTGTGTCAGCACAGGACCAGCTCAGGACTTACTAAACACACAACAATCTTAAAAAAAAAAAAATCTTTATCACTTTTTTGTTATTGTTGGTGGTGGTGGTTGTGGGGCTTGAACTCTAGGCCTGGGCGCTGTTCCTGAGCTCTTCAGTTCAAAGCAAGAGCTCTAGCACTTGAGCCACAGTGCCACTTTTGGTTTTCTGGTGGTTAATTGCAGATAGAGTCTCACAGACTTTCCTGCCCAGGCTGGCTTTGAACCTTAATCCTCAAATCTCAGCCTCCACTCTTTTTTATTATCTTATTAAGATTTTGTAAGCGCTACTTATATAGGTCCTTGAAACAGACTTTATCAAAAGTTTAGAAGAAAACAAAGTTCAGTACTAAGATTGTGTGTGTGTGTGTGTGTGTGTGTGTGTGACAGATCCGAGCTTGAACTCAGGGTCTGAGCACTGTCCTTTTGCTTTTTTTACCTAAGACTAACATTCTATCACTTGAGCCACAACTCCATTTCTAGCTTTATTGGTGCTTGATTGGAGATGAGTCTCAAAGTCTTTGTTGCCTAGGCCAGCTTTGAACCTTGATCCTCAGATCTCAGTCTCCTGAGTCACTAGGATTACAAGTATGAGCAGCTAAAGCCTATCCAACTACCCTGAGATATTCTTAAAATAGGTCTTAACCATGCTAGTTTCTTTACTTCAGCCTCTCAAGTTATCTTCTGCCTTCCTGCCTTCCTTCTGGACGCCAGTATCCTCAGTTTATCAGGCACAGTATTCAGCCCTCAACCCCTATTTACATCTTTGATACTATACAAAATGTCCAGCTGAAAATTAATTTGTGTGATACACAGAGTACGTGATATACAAAGAATGAGTAATAAAATCACATATAATAGGTGTCAACTCTTCCTTCTTTTCTTTTTCATTACCTTTTTTTCTTTGTCAAAGGCTTAAGATCCAAAGTAGAGGAAACCTTACTAAAGAAACCTTTACTAAAGAGACTGCTTTATGTGTGAAGTAGGAAAACCAGGGCTAGTTGATGCCATCTTGTTCTCACAGACATCCTGGCACCTAGCTGGGTGATGGAGGCTTTCCACCTAGCTTCAAAGACTTGGAGGTTAGACAGGCAAGCCTTTGAATTGTAGATGCCTAGCTCAGTTGGGAGAGCAAGGAAGGCTGGGTTTGCAGATACATGTTTTTAGCCCCAGAGAGGATGTATCCTGTTGTTTAGACCCAGAGAGGGTCATCTTGCTCTTCTTGCCTTTGTTTATGTTGGGGTTTCATCACCACCCAAACTTGTGGGTTTTGTCTTTAAAAACTTGGTGCAAGGGCTGGGAAGGTGGCTCAGTGGTAGAGCGCTTGCCTTGCATGCCTGAGGCCCTGGGTTGGATTCCTCAGCACCACATAAGC